CAACTTGTCTGTTCCCCTTCCCCCAATTCCCCAGCGCTGTTCCCATCCCCCAATTCCCCAATAAAAATCTTTTAAAAATAAATAAATAAATAAAAATAAACTCTAAAAGTAATTTGGAAAAAAGAATGATCATAAATCTGGTTATGTGTTTGAAATCCCGGCAATCACAATAGCTGCATTCCCTTTAAACTAAATACATAAACATATTATCATGTTGTAAATAGAGAAATAAAATCCAAACAGGGAAGCACTAAGTCTCAGGTTTACACTTATATTTCTTACCAGAATTCTGTATGATTTAAGAAATATAAAAATAAACAAAAAACATAAATATGAAAAAAGAAGGCAAAAAGCAGAAAACACCCCCCCCACCCCCCCCAAACCATCTTCTTGGAATAACACATCTCTGGTTAGCTTTTAAAAATATTTTAAGCCAAATTAGGAATAATTAACAATTAGAGCATAAAAAGATATTTCTAATAGTTATTATTAATATATTAAATTTTGGTTCTCAGGGAATTTTTCACTAGTAGGAGACCAAAAAAAATCCATTCTCCATGCTTTATAATAGGGAATTTTCATTTTCAGCATTGTAAAGAAGAAACAAAAACCAAAACCCACTATTCACTCAGAATGTAAAAGAGATAAACTAATCATTTATTTTCTATAGAACATCATGGTATGCCTAGGTCTTAAAAGAGAGAAAGAGTCATACACTTTTACCTTTTAAAAACTTGGTCAAAATGAGAGCTTTCTACTTTAAAACCTTTGCTGGTAAGTTCCATCCATCTCCATCTTTTCAAAGACCTACAGGTACTGACTCCTACCCTTCTCACTATGACTCTTTCCCACTATAGATGAAATGCAACTCCCAAGTTTGAAACTGATGTCTAGATGTCGAATAATCCAGCACTCACCCCCATACCAAAAATGCCGAATAGCTCTGTGGACATACTGACGGAGGAAGTGACTTATATCAAATGTTACAAACTTCTCCCCAAGAAGAGTTTCTGAATCTGCATGTGTAATCTAGTCGAGCTGCTTCTGTAACCATGTTTGAAGAGAGCATGAGTCTTCCCCTGGAGTGGCGAACCATCAGCACACATATGCCAAATGTGTACTTAAGTGAAACTCTAACATATGGTACTATTCTCTCTCTCACACATTCTCCACAGTAACCACCTGACCATTTATTTGCAAGAATGCCCAGGAGAAGATTTTCTTAAAAGGCCACTTAAAACTATTTCTATTGAATATTACATTGGTAAGAATATGTTATTTTAAAAACTGTTTATCCTTACCCAGTGGAGGCTGAAGTAAGTCCCCTTGCTTTTCACATGTCCCAATAGGTTGTATCTCTGTAGAATCCACAAGTCTCCAGAAATCGTTTTTGTTGTCACTGCCGTCCAGGCGTAAACGCAGCCTGGCCCCAATAATTCCAATTACCGTCGCGAGGCTCATCGAAGCTATATTGCGAGGGTCACGGGCTTCCAATTTCATACCAATTTTGAAGTCATTATCCGGTGGAATCTCGGACTATATAGCGGGGGTGCCAAAAAATGTATACACATGATGTATACATATTCATCTTTTGTTATCGGTATATATTGAGTATTACAATTTTAATACATTTTTTTCCTTTCTTAAAATGTGTATACATTTTTTGGCACCCTCTCTATGTGTACACACATATGTGTACACACACACACACACCAATTTTGCTAAAATGTATCAACTATAAGAAAAACAAATGGTCAGTTATGTTACCAGAATATTTGAGGAGCATTTTAAGTTAACAGTCACAGCAAATGGTGAGACAAAGTAAGAACTATTAAGGGTCAAGATCTCTAAAACCTCTCCTTGGCTTGACATGCAGCACAAAAACACTGCCCACTGCTGGTCTTACTCATCTGCCCACTTCCAGGCAATCCAAATACAGCCTCTAAAATGCATGGAGTAGCTTTCTAAAATAAGAATCTGATTAGGCCACTCCCCTTGAAATAAACCAACTGGCAGCTCGCCACTGCCTAAGATAAAGTCCAAGTGCTCAGTACAGTTAAAAAGCCCCCAAACCTTTAACGTCATCCCCACGCTATTGCCTCTACCCACTTTGTGCTCTAGCCACTCCAAGCCATCCCTCAACACTCAGGTTCTTTTTACACCCATGTGCCTTTGTTTTGGATATTCTCTCTACCTAGCATATCCTTTCCCTCATTCCAACCATCTCAATAGCACCTCTTCTGTGAGCCCTTGCAGTATAGTTATCACACTTCTCATAATTATTTACATGTCTGTCTTTCCCTCCAGATGGGCAATCATAAGGACTTAGTATACCTGACATTGAGCAAATTCTTAATGAATAAACGCAAGGAGACCATCTGGCTCTTAAATGGCACTACCACAATCCCACTAATTCCTCACACTACCTGAACCTAACAATCACACAGACACTCTTCAACAAGTTAATAGTTTATATTAATATATACAACATCTGCAGAATTTTGGCATACCTGTCTGAAACACTCTGAAGGAGCACATACAGCTCCAGTCTCTTCCAAGTAAGTGCTCCATTGGAATTCATCTGGAAAAAATACATACAAAATAGGAGGGGTTTTTTGTTGTTGTTTTAGTATTTACAATATATATACTAACTTTCAGAAATAAAATGGGTTTTAGCTCCAAATCTCTTTTAAAAAAATACTTCCTAAACACAGATTCAAACTTCCTGATCTACATTTGATTACCAGCACTGAAATAAAAAATAAGACAACTTCCTGATAATAATGGCTGATATAAATTATAAGACAGCTCTTCTTAATGTAATAAGAACTACAGCACAATAATTCTAAAAATGTGGACTCTAGAAACACCTAAAGGAGTTTTTATAGAGTAACAGCAAATTCTACTCATCTGATTCTAATATAAATTTACTCAAGACATGTGTTTTTACCATTTTATCCCATTAATGTGAAGATGCATTGTTTTTTAAGGGGAGCTAAAGGTGTTTAGGTGTGTAGTCTAACAGGATTTTACCCCTGCAATGCTTTATGGAAAGAAAAAACTCTGAGAACCAGCATGTTTTTCAATTGACTAGTAAATCTCCATGCAGGTGTGAAGAACATGGTGGCAGAGCAAAGCAGTAAACCAATCATTGGTACAGTCATTGATATGGATTATTTTAATGATCTACATTTTCTACCAAGTCTTGCTGTCCTTTCTCTCACTCAGTCTTCATGATATATGATAATGCTAGAGAAGGTCGGAAGGCAATGTACATTGCCTTGCTTGAACACTTCAATTCACTGTGCCAGTCAGATGCCAAAGACACTGATAGAAAAGCTTGATAGCTGTATTAAAGGTACCGTATTTGCCGGCGTATAAGACGACTGGGTGTATAAGACGACCCCCTAACATTTCCACTCAAAATACAGAGTTTGTTATATAGTGGGCGGGCATCGGGAGGCCACTATGGCACGGGGCAAGCACTATGGGCAGTCTATCTAAGTGTACCTGGCGTATAAGACGACCCCCCACTTGAAGGCATATTTTTCAGGGCCAAAAAATCGTCTTATACGCTGGCAAATACGGTACTGTTAATTCATACAAAGTTTAATTCTCACCAACCACAAAGTTTTTCTATACTCTCATTTAATTTCCACACAATACAAATATTGGTTATAACAGTTCCCCTTCCTGGAGGAATCTACGTTACTGGCCTCTCATATATCCTTTAAAGGATATAACACACTTAAACACATACACACACACAAAGCGCTGATAAATGTTTAACAACCAGCTTTTCAGAAAACACAAACAACCAAAAAGCCTGACTCATAGTGTTTGCACATTTCTGTGATGTAAATACTACCACCATATCTGGCTGCAAGGTGCCAAGGTGAAGTCACCAACCACAAAGTTGAGAAGAGATGTACACAATCGGCCCTCCCAAGCTGGTGTGAACCAGCTTCAGCATACCACCAATACATGTGTGCATGCATTTATATGTATGTACACATATTACATATGGTATTAAGCATGTCATACATAACACTGTACACCCTGCTTTTTTAACTTAACAATAAATCTAATAGACTGTCCCATTAAAAAAAATACTGTCCTGTGTTTAAATCTGCTTCCAGATGATGTGAAGCAAGAACTACCTCACTGCTTAAAGGCACGTGGCAGAATGTCAAGAATATGGGCTCTGCCTTCTTCCAGTCTGGCTCTGCCTTTTACTAGTTATGTGACCCCAAGGCAAGTCATTTCACTTTCTCAGCCTCAGTTCTTTCTTCTATAATAAAATGGGGGAACATAATGAATATGGCACAAGGTATTTTGAGAATTAAGTGAAGTAGCATACATGTAAGTCACTCAATAAATAGTATGTGTTATTATTATAAAACTAAATGTCACAGTTGTGCCTAAATTTATGAATACTGGATAGCTTTCTCAGACATGAAAACTGAGATCCATGGCTCCAAAATTAAACCAACCAGGATATTTCAGTGACCTCCTAAGCACTGACAATCAGAAGACCTAAGATTCTAACTGAAGCTCTACCACCAGATGGTGTTGGAGAGCATTAAAAAAAAACAACACACAAATAGGGGGGAAATCTGGCTAGGATGTCATTAAGGAGCTGACATCCCAGGGAAAAGGGAATGTAAGTTGGAAATAATGAAGTGGAAACTAAAACCATTTCACAATTATACCTCAATGAACTCAGATTCTTCAATAAACCAATTACATTTGTAAAAATTTTCAATGACATTGGAAAATACTTAATCCATCTCTCTAACACAATTTTTAAAATAATCTATCACCATTCGTATCCGAATGAGCTATAATTCAAGCTAACAAATCCTTTATATTGGTGTGCTATAATATGATCATTTTCTATTACATTGCTAGCTAACGACCATATGTAGGATTTAACCATTGGAGCCTTAATTCTTTTATTCATAAGGCAAAATTTTTAATCCGTAAAACTGTTCAGCTTGGCTGTCCATGTGCTGAGACCCTACCAATAACATAGGAGAAACACGCATTAGCAACAGGCTTTACTAATTTAGATTTGACACATCTACAACAATACCACAGCTAGAATTTGACCATGAGCCAAAATAGTCATGTCTGAGCCAAGCCTGAGGTCTCAGTCTGCCTTTGCACCTTATCCTCACTGACAGATTGGGGCGGGGGCGGGGGGGGGCGGCAGTTATGCTCTCTCAGAAAAGAAGCCTGGGAACTGATACATTTGTTCATGAGACAGGTGTACATACATAACCTTGCGATCTGATTGTTATTTGCACATGTCCATGGTTCCTTCTTGTTTGCCTTGTATTCTATTCTAGTCCATTATTTGTCGAAACACCTTTTGGCAAACTGAACATAATCTGTATGAGCTCCCTGGTCTTCTCGAGAGTAAATCAGAACCATAATGTCTTCCACCAATGTGAGGTTTGCGTTCAGAGTCTATGTAAAGAAGATGGCCAAAACATCTAGAGCTGGATGCTTCTCAGCTAAATGGTCACAGCAGCCACTACTTCATAGCATTTATCACAACTGTAGTTGGGCATTTAATGTCTATCTTGCCTCCTAAACTCAAAGAGGGCAGGAACCATGTTTGTTCTTATTCATCACTGTACTCCATAGAATGTCACCAGTATGTGCCAGGCACTGTCCCAAGGACTGGAGATGCAGCCGTTAACAGACACAAATCCTGGCTCTCTTGGAGCTTACCTTCTAGCAGTTATTCACTGATTTCTAAGATGAGATGTTTAAGGTCAGGGCCCTAAGAAATATCTGCAGATATCTGTCAGTTTGATTAAGTAATCTCATTTTTTTTAATAAAAAGTTTGAGAATTTTGAAAAGTCTTACTAGTTTCAACCTTTGAAAATATATATATCTTAGATTTTTTACTTTTATGACATTTTCAGAATAGGCAAATCTATAGAGACAAAATGTAGGTAAGTGGTTGGTTGCCTCGAGCTGGGGAAGGGCAGAGGCACTGGAGGAAAATAAGAAGTGACTGTTAATGGGGTACAGGATTTTTTAGGGTGACGAAAATGTTCTAAAATTGATTGTGGTGACGGCTGCACAACTCTGAATATACTGAGAAATACTGAATTGTATATTTTAAATGGGTGGATTGTATGGTATGTAAATTATATCTCAACAAAACTATTAAAAAAAGGAAAACAGAGAAGAATTTGTAGGGATGAGGTAGAACATTTTAACCTAATGGCATCCATTTCCTTGGAGGGTTCTAGAGGTTGGAGAGAAGACATGGAGAACAAATAAGGTCAACGGGAAAAATAAGGAAGCACTGAGGGCCCAGCAGTGAGATCGCCTGATTCCATGGCTATTACCTTCCTGTAGGAACAGAAAGTCATGTGTGAACTACTCCAAGAGTAGGGCTGGCTGGCAGGACAGGTACAACAGAAAGACAAGGGACAACAGGTTTGCCTGAAACCTCTGGTAAACACAGTTAAGTCTGCTATAGTATTTTTTTTATTCAGTTTTTTGTGTACGTATGACTTGTTTTCTCATTTTCCTTAAAAGCAGGTATAACGGGTCAGATTCTATCGCCTGAGTCTCTGGTGCAGTACTATACACATACTGTTCACAATAAGGAACTTAAAACATGAATTAATAACTCAGTGTTAATAAATAAAATTAACATGTATGATGTGCCTAGGCATTATATTAAGTGCTTTACATTCATTTTATTTAAATCCCAATAATCTCATGCGGTAAATAGCATTATCCCTGTGCTACAGAGAAGAAAAAATACTGAGAATGTTGAGTAATTTGCCCAAGGTCACAAGGCTAGTAAAGAACGAGGCCTCCATTCTAGTAGAGGTCTGTCAGACCTCCCTACGCCTAAGCTTTTATCCACTGAACTGTCTTTCAATCATCAAACAAGGACTTTCACATTGACTCCAATGTTAGAAGGGTTTTTATTAATAATCATTTTAAATTGGTATTGCATGGTTATTAATAACTAGATATCTTTAATTTGGCAAAATTTGCATTGAAACACACGGTTATCTTTTTATTTAATCTGATACCAATTCATCTCTAAGTAAAACCAAAGTAAAATTTTCAAAATAAAATACTATTTTTTACCTTTCTTGTTGCTTAGATTTTATATTTACAGTTTAGTGTACATAGACTATAAAAAAGGCAATGAATTCATATTAACACTGAGTGAAGAAGAAAAATATGTTATGTTGTATTGAACCACTTTAAAACCTACCTTTTTTCACAGATGTGCCTGACTGAGGAGTTTCCTCTTCATTCTCCTTCTCGGCATCCATTGGGCCTAGGGGGGGGCAGCGATAAGAAAATGAGAATAAATCATGAGCAATACTGAAAGGCCAAAGCAATAGTCTGAAAGACCACTTAGAAAAACTATGAACTAAAACTATTTTCGGATAGAAGACAGTTTTAATTTTATAATTAACATTCTCATTTCCAGGACTTCTTTTTTTTAACATACTATGTACCTTATAATTTGTTATTTTGTTTATTGTATGTCTCACTCCACTCAATATAAGCTCCAAAAGGGCAGAGATTTATTTCATTTTGCCTGTTTTGTTCACTGTACCCTCAATGCCTAGAACAGGACCTGGCATGAAATAACACCCTCAAGCATTTGTTAGATGACTGAATAAATAAACCAAAACAAGCTGAGTTGATCCTTACAATATTCAAATTAATGTGCCCTAGAAATAAAGTGCATGCTTTTGAGAGTTAAAATATAACAAGGAAGCTAGAATATAATGTAATGCAATGGACTAGGCAGTTTTTTTCCTGTGCCAAGCTGAGGAGCTCAAACAATGCTGGACCTGTGACTTCACCAAATCTAAGATATTATATTATTTCAGCCGCACATATTACAGTATCTATCTCTTAAAGAGCTCATTAAAAAATTAACTGTGGACCAGCCCAGTGGCGCACTGGTTAAGAGCTGGCTTGGGATGCCAGCTCTGAGCAGCAGGGCCCCAGTTCAGATCCCACTTGAGAGCCAGTGACACTGCGCCCTCTACAGCTAAGATGGTGAACAACAGCTCGACCTGGAGCTGGGCTGCCGTGAGTCGCTGGCGACGGCATAGGCTGAAGCCCCTGCTGCAGTGGGGCTGCCATAAGCTGCCGTGTGTGGCCAGCAGCCAGCGTGAGCCATCAGCAGCTGGTGTGAACTGCCAAGAGCCGCCATAAGTGGCCGTCCAGAGGCCGGCGACTGATCTGCCTCACCCAGGAGGAGTGCAATGATAATACCAACATGGGCCAGTGAAGCGACATCCTCCACAACTAGACTGAAGAACAAAAGGATAGCAACTTCTCTGTTCCCCTTCCCCCGATTCCACAGTGCTATTCCCCTCCCTCAATTCCCCAATAAAATCTTTTAAAAAAATTAACTGTAATACTATTATGCTGAAAAAATTAACCATAATTCCTTAATATCATCAAATAAGCAGTCAGTGTTCATATTTCCCCAATTGTCTTAATTATTTTCAGTGTCTCTGTTTGAATCAGAACCCAATTAAGTCCATACATAGCAATGGCTGATATACGTCATAAGTCTTCGGATCTATAGGCTCTTCCCTCTTTATTTCTTTTCCTTCCTTCCCCCAGCAATTTTTTTGCTGATGATGCCAATTTAGAGTTTTCCAATCTGGATTTTGCTGACTGCCTCCTCATGGGTTCTTCTGGTCTTTGTATTTTCTCTACATTAGTACTGGTATTTAGATCAAGAATTTATCAGATTCAGGTTTGGCTTTTGGCGGGGTGAGAACAGGAGAAGATGACTTCATAGGTGGTTTTGTTTACTTCTCATAGGAGGCTCCTAATATCTAGTTCTCTCTCTTTTTTGTGATATGAGCAACCACAGATGGCTATTGCCTAGATCCATTTGTTCATTAGTGGTTACAAAATGGAGGTATTCTAATTTTATCATCCTATCTTTATCAGCCAGAAAACTTCTATAGAGAGAAACCTCCCCTCTTCAGCCATTTACCCTGAGGTACAGATCACATAGAGAAGTAGCAATCAACACTTTATTCTTTTTCTTTATTTTCTAGTTTTCAAAATAATGAGTTGGATCCCAAGCATTCTCCACAGGTCACTAATAAGTTTTCTTTTTTAATATCATTATGAACTCATGGATTTAACCATACTTGATATGTTTCCATATTGCTGTTTTACCCTTATTGATGCTCGAATTGTCAAGTGACAAGCTTCTTAAAGAAGGATCTATGAGTGATGCCAGGTTTACCATTTAAGGTAACAGATCTACTTTCTGGTTATGACTGAGTGACTCTTCAAGATATGTGAACACTTGAGGGGGATATATGGGCTGCTTTCTATTTAAATGATTTGGCTAGTACAAAGAAAGTACATCTTTATATTTACTAAATAGTTCTACAGTAAGATTTTCTAATAGTAAAGAAAGTAAAACTGTGAAGGCATGGTTCCTGCTCCAGAGAAGCTAAGAATCTAGTTACACAGACTACGTTAAACTAACACACTTGACAAAACTGGGAAGAGCAGAGGACAACATTCAGTCTTCAGCCAGAAAAAAAGTCATGAGAAGACACAGGACTTGAACTGAGTCTTGAAGGAAGAACAGAATTTAGACAGCAAAGGTGTGAAGTATGTACTATGGAAAGAAAATACAACTCAAAATGGAGTGCAAATGAGTGTGGCATATTCACACAACAGTGAGCAGCCTTCTCACTGGACCAAGACAGGGTGAAGCATTTTTTAATCACTCATATTAGAATTAGAAGGTTTGGATTTGGATTTTGGTGTTGTCACAGACTGTTATATGACCTGTTCATTTAACCTCCCTGGGTGTCAGTTTTCTCATTTATAAAACTAGGAAGGGAAAACAAGATCACCTTTAATAACAGCTATTCATTCTAAAATTCCAAATCTAAGCACCGAACACCTCCTATAGATTTTATTTTTAAAAAGTCTTTTTCAAAAGTTCTGTCTACCAAAAGATACTCATTCCAAATGAATAAAAATATTATCTTTAGACAAGTAAATCTTACCTTCACTCACTGTTTGCCCCGTGTCTTCATTTTCTGGTGTTCTTTCCTACAAGGAGAAAAATCAATTAATGCCTCCTTTTAGCACAATATATTTCTAAAGGGCAGTATTATTAGAAATCAGTTATAGAGTTAGATCATTTTAACCTCTTTCCCTTAAATAAAAACGATATGTTTTAGTAGTTGCAAAGGGCTAGAGGAAGAGGAATTGGGGAGTGACTGCTAATGGGTATGGATATGGGTAAGGGGTTTCTTTTTTGAAGTGATGAAAATGCTCTGGAATTAGATAGTGGTGATAGATGCACAACCTTGAAAATACACTAAAAACCACTGAGTTATGCACTTTAAAAGGGTGAATTTTATGGTTAAATAAAAAAGAGTAGATGGTAAGTTGGCAGAGTTAAGATTCAAACTGAGTCCTCCCCCAAAAGCCCACTTAAGCCCATTTTACACAGAGGTGGAAGAATCATGACTGTGTTGGTGAAACTTATAAGAACTGTAAGAGGCAAGTCTAATAAGACAATTACTTGTTAGAAGACGTGTGTATTTTGAGCCACAAATTCACTCATTAATTCAAACTTTTCCTGCATGTCTTTGATATGACATGTACTCTACAACCTGTCCTTGCCCTCCAATAGCTCCATCTAGTCAGAAATAGGAATATCAACAAAACATAATTTAAGTGCTATAAAAGAGGTATGTACATGGAAATACTTAATAGGGCATAAGGATATCTACCTCCTCTGTGTGCCTATAGTCAGAACATGACAATGTATATAACAGAGGATAAACTGTTATTTATTTAAAAGAAGCCTATGGAGAATACATTCATTAAGCCACCCAAAACACCTTCCACACTTCTGATTCAACAGACATACACTCAAGCATCACCTTCTCCAAACTTGCTCCTTCTGACATGTTTCTCCTACTAACACCACTACTTTCCCAGATACTTGGCCTTAAAACCACAGATATGACTGAATGTGTGAGGTTCTCTTTCACTCACATAGTCAGTCAGTGGCCAACATGCACTATCTCATTTCCCTTTCCCTTGCCACTAGTTTATCCCCACATTAACTCCCACCTGGTCTAATCCCATAGCCACCTAACTTGTCTCACCACAACTCATCTCACCACAAGGGTCTTTCCTCACCCCAACCTACCCAATATAAAATGCCAGATATGGTCTGAGCTGTTTTCTGCCCAAATCACCTTCCTGCCTCAATAATTTCACTGACTATTGAACTGAACAAACAAATCTTCTGTGGGGCATATTTAAAGCCCCTCACAATTTCAAAGTCACCTGACCGCTACTGACAATCGCTAACCTGTGTTCTATCTACATGAGATACCTTTTCCTCCTCTTCTGCTTCTTGAAATCCTATACAACCTTTAAGGCCTAACATAAATGCAACCTCATTCTTGAAGCCTTTCTTCATTACTGTCATCTGTTTCTAGGTGTGAGCTAAGTCATTTATTTAACAAATATTTACAAAATTCTTGTTATGTGCTTGGTGCTATGTGGACAGAAGATTCACTATCTACTACAAAAGAGCTGGAAATCTAGTGGGAGAGGCATTTTAACAAATGATTCTCAAACAAAAGAGAATAAAATACAGGCTTTATTAAAAGAGGTAAAAGTGGTGTTCTGTGGGAAGACAGAAGGTGCAATAAATTGGGAATGTAAAAGAAGGCTTCTCAAAGGAAGTGGTACTTGCACTGGTCCTTTAAAGATGAGCATTTCAATGAGCAGAGAAGACAGGTTTCAGGCTGAAGACACAACATGAGCAGAGACTAACAGAAGCTCCTGCCTCCTCTACTGATTATGAAATGCCGGAGGTGCTAAGGTTCCTTCTGGGTTCTTATCTCCCTCTACAGTCTCTCAGGGCCCATGGCTTTAGGAGCCACCCACACACAGACAACTCACAAGGTATTACCTCCCCTTCCCAGACCTCTCTTCTGAAAGTCAGACTGGAATATTCAGATGGATTGAATATTCAATATAATTGCTAGGATGCTGTCAATTAAGGACTATAGCCTAGTGGCTAAAGAAAAAGACAAAGTGAAATGTAGAGAGGGTGCTGAATTCAAGCAGATAGTAAAGGGAGATTCCAGGTAGGCAGTGAAGGCATTTATCAACTCTAATCAGAGAACAAAAAGTTGTGAGTTACAACCAATCAATTAATTTTTGAGTTCCATTAAAATAAGTCCTATTACTATGCAAAGGGATTCAGTCCAAAAAACCTGAGGAATGGTCGCACATAGATGGTACAACCAGGTTCCTATGTTCTTTTCTCAAATCTCTAACCCATAAGTGAATTCTTAATCTCAACTAGTATCAATTGTTCCCATTAGTTGAGTGATACTGTAATCCTTGAAAGTGAAGATACATTTATAGAGATGACTAAAATTAAATCTTTGAAGACCTAAATAAATAAATCCATGTACCACGTTCACAAGTTTGAAGGTTTCTTGGATAGAAATAAAAATGCACAAACCATAAAATAAAATGTTGATAAACTGGATTTAAACATGATTAAATTTTGTTTCTCCAAAGGCACTATTTAATCAAGACGAAGTGGTATTGGCATAAGGACAGACATAAAGATCAATGGAATAGGTCCTGAAAGATCCACATATACATGGTCAATAGGTTTTCAACAAAAGTGCCAAGGTAATTTCAATGGAGAAAGGATCATTTTTTTCCCCAACAAATGGTGCTGGAACATATCCATATACAAAAATATGAAAAACAACACATATCTCACAAGTTAATACACAAAAATTACCTTTCAACAGATCATAAATCTAAATGTAAAGCCTAAAATTATAACATTTCTAGAGAACACAGAGACCTTGTGACTTTGAATTAGGCCATGATTTCTTAGATATAAAAGGTACTATGCATAAAAAAATTGATAAATTGGTTCATCAAAACTAACAACTGCTCTTCAAATGACACTGTTAAGAAAATAAAAGGATAAAAACACATATCTAATTTAAAAAATCTATATCCAGAATATATAAAGAACTCTTACAACTCAATTTTTAAAAAGGCAAACAGCCCAGTAAAAACATAATTGGCAAAAGATTTGTACAATCACTTTGCTAAAGAAGACACACACCTAAAACTAATAAAAAAATAAATTAAAAAAAAGGACACACAATGGCCAACAAGCACGTGAAAATATGCTCAACATCATTAGTATTCAGGGAAGCACAAATTAAAACCACAATGAGATACCACAGCATAAATGGCTAAAAATTAAAGAAACTGACAATACAAAATGTTGGTGAGGATGTGGAACTGGACCTCTCATACATTACTGGTACAAATATAAAACGAGTATTTCTATAAAAACAGAACTTTCTTAAACACAAAGCAATGAGTTGTTTGAAGCTCGTCAAAAGTGAGCTTGTGGTACTTTAAGGATTCTTCCAGGGTCATTCTTCCAGTAAAATCAAAATCATTTGCCCTGAACACTCTTCTTTCACTATACACAGCTTTCGAGTTTTCCCTCTTGAGCCATGTACGGGTAGCTTTCATATTTCACTACACCAATCACTTCAGTGTTAAATGAAATAGTATTCCCTTTAAGAGAATATGATTTTGGCCCTGTTTTATTTCCATTATATATATTCCACAGCATCTAGAACAGTGCTGAGCACAAGGTAGGTTCAAGCTGAACACTTGAGTGAATATTCACTAACCTTTAATAAAACAATATTTCTTTTCAAATATTCTGAAATTCATGCATTTTGTTGGAGATTTATTTTCTCTCCTGACTCTCCCCAATATTCTTGCTACCCACGTTTTTTATTTGGCATAGGCAAATGTGTAAATTCTCTTTCAATCTAGGAGCTAGACCTAAGATCAAAATGAATGTTTAAGTTTACTTTAATGCATAAGGATTTCTGTGTTAGAAAGTATTACTACCTAAACTATCTTCAACTTCAAACTGCTATGCACTATACAGACAAAACTGTACAGCAAAATATTACAGCCTCCTCCTTGTTAAAAAATGTTTAAACCTAAGAGGAAAATAGAAATTAAATTCCCTGATGAGAAAATGGATAATTTCATTCCACAGAAACAAAGCAAATACACAAACTGCTTCTCTACTGGGCTCTCAAACTACAAGAGCTAATCCATTTAAGCAACTCAACAGAATAATTTTTTGTGTTTCACTTAAATGCATGACTTTATTTACAAACATTTATTTACAGACACTGGGCATAATCCCATGTGTCAAGAATATATGCCTACAGGAATCAAAATGGCAAGGCCTCTGCTCTCTGGGGGCTCCCTTGCAGGGTTCCCAGGCTGTTTCTCCACCCAATAGTTCCACCCAAAAGCAAATAGCAAAGCAAGTCTTATTTAATACAAATTGCTTGCATGCTCACCTCTCCTCACAGTTGTAAAGTGACTAAGAACACAGGCCACACATTACTCTTCCTTGTAGTTCTCCCACAGCCAGCACAAACCTTTGCACTTAAAAAGTACTCAAACGTTCACTGACAGGACTAGTAGCAACTAAAATTCACTATACATACATATACGTATAGGTCTGTATAGGATTATATGAGGAAAAGATTAAGCACAGAGAGAAACATAGGACACGTACAAGCTTGTGAATAAGCCTTACCTGGGAGGGTAAAGATGATGGTGTGTGCTTATGGGGGAGGTACTTTATAAATACATCCTATGTGACATAATCCTATTTGTATAAAATTGTGCATAAGTTTGCATAAAGCAATGCAAAAATATTTTGGTGATTCTCCTTTTTTGCATCACAGAGTAATGAGATTTTAGGCGACCTTTATTTTCTTCCTTGTATTTTTATGTATTATTGGAATTATTTACAATGGTATGTATTAAATAATCAGAGAAAGTTATTTTCATGAGGGGAGTACCCAGACAGTTTTTTTTAACAATCCCTAAATACTATTAAGAAGCTCTATATATGCAAAGCTGCTCTATCACATAAGTTAAACAAATTATATGCATTCTTAAAGAAAAATTTATACTGTGATTACTGATAGCTGTAT